TTATTATTATTATTATTATTATTATTATTATTATTATTATTATTATTATTATTGTTGTTGTTGTTGTTGTTGTTGTTGTTTTTGTTAAGTTTGAAAAACCTGGACTCCTTGGCGGGCCCGAACATCAACTCCTTTACTGTCGATGGATATAAGAGCAGCATCATCTACCTCAGCTTCCTTGGACAAAAGCTCTTTCAGAGGCTTCGAAAATATTGCATTTAGTTCCTATAGCAAACATCATATGGAACATTTTAAGATTCCCTCAATAAGAAGAAAAACATCATCAAAATAGAAGCACAAACTGTTTTATTAATGTATATACCTTTAAATTCTGTTCGCCTCCATCAACAGCAATCTTATCGGGTTGAATGGTTTCATATTCTTTGAGATCAACCCAAGCAACTGTCCCAAAGCCTCCAATGAAATATATATCACTGTGAAAGTAAGATTTTTCTCCATTTAGTCCCGTTACAATGATTACAGCTACTTTTTGATGGGTATTAGCTGGAATGCTGGATGAAGGATTTGTTTATATTTTCCTTACGCAGGACAATTAGAAAAATCCTATTCATGGTAAATCGTTATATGATTTTCTATTCACCAATCGAAGACAATTGCCTCTTGGATGAATGCTTCTAAAGCAATACGTATCCTTTTTCTCATGCTACACAAAATGTTAAATGCTACAAGATGGGAGACTCAAAGAGCAGAAAAAGAGATTTTTTTTAAAGAAAAAAAAAAAAGAAAAGAAACGGAGGTAAAACCTTATGTTCTGCATTCGAAAGTAGTAGAAATTTCCCCACTGCTGAGAAGGTCCTTGATGGTGTTTTGCTATGTACTGCTTATGGGCCCATTCCTGGCCACAGAATGAGGAATATTGGACATAAGGACAGCTACTAATTCAGTATACATTATTAAAAATTCATCTTTGAACAAAAAACAAAAAATAAATAGAATTAGATTATTCACCTGCTTGTCTTCAGGGAGCGGGTATACATCGCCAAAGATTGTCACTCGTGCATTTGACAAGCCACTCCATCCAGGAATCTAATGAGTATTCATATCTTTCATAAATCCACATAATTCAAGAAAGAAAAAAAAAACTGCAATAATATGCACCAAGACTTATAAAAAGATGCGGATAAACCTGTACAACTAAGGTGCATCTTGGATCGGCTAACAAGTTCCTAGTGTGTATAGCCAATGGAGAGAATGACAAAATTGGATCTGCAAGGGAAATGTCAATATAACAACTGAGATCTGAGTTCCTTTTACATACATTTAGTAGTTTTCACTATTCAAACAACTTGGAACATGAAATAAGATCGCTAGTAGGAAAGAAACGAAAAAATTGAAGCAATGTGATCGAATTATCAAGTCGTATAACTGAATAAGTCTTTACAACTTGTATTCAAGTACAATTATGCGGAAAGCCAGACCAATTTTAACTGAAAAAATTATTTTCTGCAGGAGGATATCTCATAAAATACATGTGATTGAATATTGGTACTTCAATCAGAAAACCATGAGTAGATTCTAAAAAAAAATTACATTGGTTTACAGACTAAAGATCAAAAGGAAGAAGCATTCCATTATCCATGGGACAAGATACAACATAAATTGACATTTACAAAAAGGAAAAAAAAAAAAATTATTACTCACGTCCAAGATGATCGGGTGCAAAATCCACGAGCGAACCAAACGGATAACCTTCTCGACGATGGTGCATACGTGACATCACAGTACATAAGTGAGCAAATCTAGCCTTCCCTTAACAAAATGCAGCCAAAATATGAAGGCCCACGTACATGTTAGAATCTGTTTAGTGAATTCGTAACATGCAAACAATTATAAGGGAAAAAAAGGAAAATTAATTACCTGTTCCATTAGATTCCTGACAGCTAAGGCTGGTCTAGGTAAGCCGTGTGCAGATGTTGCACTCTGTACTCCGCCAGATATGGGTGTCCTGAAAAGCCCAGCTCTTGTTCCACCTCCACTTACATTTCCATACGAGACCATAAATTGATTGGATGTAAAATCAGCATCCATTTCACTACTCTGTTTAAGGCTCGTATCACCCTTTTAAGATGCGAGAGAGGCCATCAAAACAAAGCCGAACGAGCCATTTGGAAATATCAATTGACTGACTATATAGCAAAAGGAGATCTATCTTAATCATGTTTGGGGGAGCTTTTCTTATTTTCTTACATTTTAACAATATTTTTCAAAACCTGAAACACGGACATGCTTATGATGTAACCCGTATAACTTTGTCGGTCTTGAAATTTATAATTTAATACAAATAATTTACATGCAAAACACTATATCATTGTTTTGTACGGGAAGACCATACTCGAAATTAAATGACCTTTAGGCCTGAATTTGATCTGAATTCTGAAGCTTGTATACATCAGGAGACTAACATCAAGTCAAGTGTTAGCTTAGCATTCGTTAATCATTGAGAAACATGTTTAAAGCAAATGTAACCATGTCATTCTCAGAGAAGACGCCTCGATTTAGCTAACGCGAACCTACATTTCAGAATGTGTAAGCAAAAAAATAAAAAAAATAAAAAAAAAATCTACTAACAGCAAAAACACAATCGCAAATTCAAACAAAACAACTCGAATCACAAAAGGTTTGCAGTTCCAGCAGGCACCACTACAGCGAAGTACACCAAACAAAGATCAAAGTTATCAAAAGCATAACTAGAAATTTAAACCAATATGCAAGTACCAACTACTTTTTACTGCAAAAAAAGATGGAAACTTTGAACATCATCGCATCTGAATCACCAACACCCAGTTCCCCAACTTCAATCTCCACTCAACTTAAACACAAAAGGCAGAAAACGGAAAGGTGGGCAAAATCCAAAGAAGCGGAAAGATTAAACCCCGACAACTGAAATAATTTTTTTTTTTTGTTTTCAAAATGAAAGATCCTTTGATTTACCTCCGAGAGCAAGAGACTTTCATCCGGCACAAAACCCGGAAACCCATTATCGCAATTCAACCGAGCATCCTCTTTACCGCCGTCGTCATCGGAAATTTCATGCGCGAGGGCTGAAACCCGAGACACGCATCGAAACGACGGCGTAGCGGTTAAACTAGGACCGACCCTCAAGAAAGAACAATGCTTATTGCTGGTTTTGGGAGCGTGGGTCAGCAAGGAGCTCTCTGAGAATCTCTGAATTTGCAAAGCCGAACTCGAAAGAGCTTCCATGGCAGTGAGCCAGTGACAGATGATGTCAGAATCGTCAGATACGTCTGGAGAATCAATTTCACCAAAACATAAAGGTTTATGTTTGGGAGGACACTAAATGGGCCTTAACTGGATTATAAAGATAGAGGAAATTGCACCCCGTACCCACCAATCTAAAATATATTATAATTATACATCCATTACATAAATATTTATACAATTACCTAACTAAGCCTAAAATATTGCTAATATACCCAAGAGTAACAGTTTAAACTTTATTAAATAATTAAAGGAAAGTTACACAATTTATGAACATCTTTAATACACAATATCTCTTCTGCAACAAAAAAGATTCTCATGAAGAAAACGCGCATCCAAATCTGTTTTCTAACCAAACCCATAATCCGTACAGCAGCTCCATGAAGCAAGACAAGTTCTTCTTGTGCTCAGCCAATATCCGCTCATCTTTGAATAGTAGTAGTGGCAATGATAAGGGCTTTAGATACAATCCTTTCTTTGAAGTGCAAAATTATTAATTAAACACAAACAATCGCCTTCACCTACCGAGTACGTCCCCTTCAACGCCGTCCTCCACCGAGTCCTACTCCCTCGACAAGATCGTCTACCGAGCCATTCCCGCGGTAGTCATCTACATGTAGGCGATGCGAGAATCGGTTTATATGGAGTCGACGAGAGAGAAGATGAATATATTCCGAAGCATGATTTCTTCAATTGCCGCCAACGACGGCGTACTCTAAAGAAGGTTTCGGCGTCGCCACAATCGGGGGGAGATGATTAGTTGGTTGCAGGGAATTTGAATTTTGCTTTGATTTTTTTAGGGTTTTGGATTGTGTGTAGATTAGTCATTACGTTAAAATTCGTAGACATTTGATTAGAGTATATGTACAGTATATGTTTGGTATATGCGATACCTTTTGTTTTTTTTTATGTTACGTCTGGTATAT